TAAATAAAAAACCCCACATATCATCTTGGCCTACAGTAAACAAATTACACACAAAATTTATATGTGCTGTGTTTTGTTGTGTACAAATAACTGCCATTCTTAGCTTGCAGTTGATGATGCTTATAAGACTCAGTTTCCCCTGGCCAGAACCACGATCCTAGTTAATAGCATCATAATTCCTGCCAGGCAGTGACAAAGCAAAAGGACGTCACTGCTTCTGACCTCTCCCTCTCTCTGATTGAGAGAGGGGTGTCATCACACACAGCCAGCACRAAGGAAACCCAGAGAGCACCTGACACCACACGGCTTTAGCCCAGAAGAGAAACAAAATGAATGGGGTGAGTATAACAACATTCCTCTCTAAAAGACTCCGCAACTCCCTCAGAAAATACACTGAATATCTGGTCTTGAACACGTTACAAAACAGTCCTTTGAAAAGTTAAGAAAACAAGTCTCTTAACTTTGTCCAAAAATAGGTAAAAATTTTCAGCCAAGATGTTAAAGTAATTTTTAATTGAGTTGAAGTCAGTTTTCCCTGAAACTACTTAAAGATTTATAGGATTCTTAGCTGTATCGCATATTACCATAAAAAGCCAAAATACTCAAAGATCAAAAGCCAGGATTTTGGCAACCTCGTTCTAGATTTCCAAATGCTTCTGATTAGGAATCACTGAACTGATTGCAATTTAAAAGAAAGCGGGTTGAAAAAAGGAAAACCCAAGTATGTATGAAAGAACCTGCAGCTTGAGACTTCTAGTCTAAATGAGCAACCATTTCAAAGAGATGTCAAACATTTGGCACATAAAAAAAAACTATTTTTGCTGCATTATMTACTGCATTTTCAGGTTGTTCTGCAGTTTCAAAGAGCAATAAACAGTGCTGTGCATCCTCCCCAGGAGAGGAGGGAGGCCAGCTGAAAACACGCAGGCAGCACCTGGCTGCTGCAGGCGTTCAGTGAATGAGTCTGTGCCAGCCCAGGAGCCCAGGGACCCCCTCGCCTGCTGCTCCACCTGCACCCAGAGCAATCCAAGCAGGAATCCGAGGCACCTCCCTGTGCAACAAGACAGTGCCAGGAAAAACCATCCCGCTGGAAGGACATGTGCTGGAAGTGCTYGTGCCCCTGTCCCTCACCTTCCTCCTGCTGGTGGCTCTGCACAGCGATCCCACAGGAGCCTCACGCCAATGACAGCAGCTACTGACTGAGCAACGACCTTTCCCTCCACAACAGAGTATCCCGGAGCATGGAAACAAAGGGTGGGGAAAGCAGAGGCAGAGCAGGAGGAATAAAAAGATCTGGCTTCCCACAGCAAATCTCATACTTCTGAAAATAAACAAGGCTGCTCTGCAGCTGCCCAGTGCTTGATATCCACCACAGATGACACATACAGCACCYGGCTGCTTTAACATCTTTGCCAGCTCATTGCAAGTATCTAATACCTATTTATAATGTTACTTTCGCTATTGATAAAATTTAGGACACCAAGTGACCATGCTCTCCATAGCACTGTCTTCTATCACAAGGCCTCCTTCGAGCACCATTTTGGTTGAGTTTGACAGCTGCATTTTATGAAAACATGTCCCTGGAGTACAAAAGAGCTGTTCAACATTCAGGAAGCTCTCAAATATTTTTAATAAAACAAGCTTTACAATTTATACTCATGTATTACAATGAAAGACTTTRAACACATTCGCTGATCTTATACTCAGAGATACTGCAATTAAAAGACAGTTAGTTTGTCCCAGTATATCAGAGTGATACGGAATAACAGAAGAATTCAAAACTTTTTTTTTTTTTTTATATAGACAATATTTGATGCACGGATTTGAAAACTGAAATGCCATCTCAGARGGCACCAAGGCCTCACCAACACCAGCTCCAAGAAAATTTCTTGTTTGGAAGACGGTCTAACCCAAACATCAAAGAGGGACCTCCAGCATTTCTCAAGTTTAGTTTTGATTTGTTTTGTTATACTTAYGTTCCTTCATTTAGTTTAAAGAGCAGTTCATAATGAGTGATTCAAAGCAGTTTTGTATTTGGAAGCTTTAGAAAAAAGAAACTGGCCTGATTTTTATTATCATCTGCTGACCTTAGCTCAGTACTCACTTCCCAGGTCTATGAAGCTAACTGGAAAAGAACGAGTTAAAAAGCTTTTAATCATCTCGTTGTCAGGTTTTATTATTATTGTTACTAAGGTAATTACCTCAGCACTGGCTGTCAAGTATGAATYAAGAAAAATACATAACGAGACTTTGAGCTTTCTTTTACCATTCTGAAATGAAACAAGTATTATTTTTGGAGAATTGGGATGAGCCTATTCTGTTCTGCCTTACCCTTCTTGTGTTTTACACACTGTTTGGGCCCCTTTTCAGTGTCAGTTGTCCTTTTGCAAGGGTACCCGGCCTCAGCCACAGCGCTGTCTGCTCGAGACCCTTTGGGCTGGGGGGGGATCAGAGCAACCGCCCCATCTTCGGGGGCTGAAAAAGCACAAAATAAACCCCATCTCCGCTTGTGAATCCCCCTTTCCCAAGCTCTTTACGCACGCACCACAGGAAACCCACCCCGGAGGGCGGCCGGGGGCTCCGGCTGCCGCTGGGGCTCTCGGCAGAGCCTCCCTCGAGAAGGGGGGTCCCGTCTCGAGCCGCCCCGCGCCCGCAGCCGCCGCCCCCGCTCCTGACCGGGACGCATCTATTGACGAGGAGCCCGCGGGGGCTGCGGGCAGCGCTCGGGCCTGCGGCCCAACGGAGCCCCCCGGGCACGGGGCGGGGCCGCGACCCACCCCAGGGGGCGGGGCCGCGACCCGGCCCGGCTGGGCGGCAGAGCCCCCCCCCCCCCCCCCCCACCCCATCGCGCTCCCGCGTGGCCGCCCCCCCCCCCCCCCCCCCGGCCGGCATTCGCTCCACCCACTTTCACTCGCCGCCAATCGCTGCTAGGTGTTTAGCATAGCCCCGCCCACACTACACTGCCCCAATGGCTGCGTACGCCGGAAGTCGGCTGTACCATCGAGACACGCAGGGAGAGCGAGTCTGGCGGCCGCTCGTGCTGCCGCTCTCTATGGTGAGTCCTCCGGGCATCCTGCCCGGGCCCAGGGCTCGGCCCGGAGCGGGGGGGGACAAAGGGGGCACAGGATGTGGGGAGATGGGGGGCAGGCTGGGGGAAGGTGGGACCAGAAGGATGTGCAGGGTGCAGGGATAGGGGATGCAGGAGGGCTTGGAGCAGGGATGCAAGCCGCAGGTGGGTGGATGCAGGGATGCTGGGAGCAGGGACCCCCAGGGCAGGGATGGGGGCGCTGGGGAGGGGGATCTCAGGTGCTGGGGGCTCTTCTCAGAGACCAACGCCGGCGAGGGGCCCTGGGGTGCTGCACACGCTGTGTCAGTGAGGCCACACACTGGGGCAGAGGGGCACAAACCTGTGTGCTCCCCGGCGCCACCCTCTCCCACAGCCGCTGAGAGGCCGTTTCCTCAGGGATTTTCCTCACCGTCACTGGCGCCTGCCAGGGATGATTCCAAGTCCTGGCTCCGGTGGCGACCCCTTCGTGTGGCAGCACAGGCGCTCTGCAGCCGGGCCCCAAGCCCCATGCCAGCGCCTGCCTGCGGCTCTAGCTCCGTGACTGCTCCATGGGCACAGTGCAGGAAGAGCTGGAGGAGCCAGATATGTAGGAGTCCTCGTTGTGCAGCAGCCACTTCTCCATCATGGACCAGAAGATGACAGGTTTCATCTGCAAAGAAAAAGGCAGAATTACCCCAGCCAGGACGTGCCGTGGCCACACTGGTGTCTGTGTTCACGTCTGGGCCGGTGGCACCAAGGCTCCTTTACAAGCCCAGACTGCAGTACTGGTGGCCATGTGGCTACCAGCCAGCATGAAGGGGCTAGCAGCCCAGCAAGGCAGAACTGAGCAGCTCTGCTAGCGAAGCTCCAGCGAGAGCTGTGCCCTGCGGTGACGTTTTAGGTCCTACCCAAAGGTGCCGTGGGGTGCATGGAGCAGGCCGGGTCTCAGCTCCAGCAGGGAAGGTTCCTCCAGCTGTGCTCACCCGGTGGCTGGTCAAGGCTGAGGTGGCTGCATGGGAGAGGGACCAGGTCGCCACCATCACCAGCCTCTCCCCAGGCTACAGCAGCTTCACCGACRTCACCCGCTCCTTCAGGGCCGCCAGCTGCCTCAGCCGGGAGCTGCAGGACGCTCRCCTTGGAGAAGAGCCAGGAGCAGAGCAGTCAGACACCCACAAACACCAGCCAGCCTCCCCAAGCACCAACATGCACATGCTCCCCCCACCAATTAACTTGTTCCCTTAAAAAATACTATAAAACTGGAGAGCACAAKTTTCTAATGAAAAGAAAGCAAATCCTATTACATATACTCATCTAGCTATAAATTCCATGAAATGGTTCAAAAAGCCTGAAGATTATTTTTCTATTAAATTCTACCAACTGCTAGACTAGCTTCTACAGGACCTTTAGTATTTCCTTAGTATCCAAGTGATTTAACCTCTATTAAATTCTGTAAAGATGACTACTACGTATCACATTCTTCAGGTAAGAAAAAGCACTACTAAGCTGAAGAGCAACTACTTACAGCATGCAAGTATCACCTGATACAACATAAAATCAAACTTGCCATATTTTAAAATTAAGCACCATGAATATGGTTTGCTACACCTAAAGGGCATCACCATAACATGCACTAGAAATTTCTGATTATATCAATGCCACCACTTCGCCTGAGCGCAAACTGACTCTAATTCCAGTACTCCTGTTAATTCCTATCTCCTGCTGTTACTCACCTATCACCTGGGTGTTAGGCTGCTAGTTACTGTTGATAGTACCAAGCACTATACGATATGATCTGAAACACATTCTATAATTTATCAAATTAAATGATACAAAGTCTTGATCAAGTTCAGGGTGTAAAAACAATAATTTATTAGCTTCTGCTTATAAAAAAATCCTTAAATTCTTGATTTTTTTAAACAGCAGCAAATAGTCAAAAACAGGTAATTTAAAAGTATTCAATAAAAAATAATAAATACGTTCCTTGAAATCAATGTTGCAGCATTAGAACAGCAAGGGTAGCAGAAAAAAATAAACAAGAGCTTATTAAAACATTTATGCCATTGCATAATCACCAACTTACTTCAATGCTATTACTTCAGCCAAATGCTTACTTAACAAATAAGCATTGTTAAAGCTTTATACAAGTAAAGTTTGTTTGAAAACTACTGAGAAGAAAGCAGTGGAAACAGAGTTCATTAAAATTTAAAGGCATCCCAAAGGGGGAGAAGCAGGGGGAGAAGGGGAAGGGAGAAGTTTTCTATATTCATGTTAATTTTATGTTCTATTCTTTTAAGCCTGCAACACATCATACAATACTGAAACCAAATGCTTGCAAAAACAACAGGTCTCAAGTCTACTCTTTTTGGTCAGCAATTCGCTGCAAGCAGAGTTTCATGTAGGAATTTTTATTGCGTATTTCTACCACTGCATCTCTGACAAGCTCAATGAACATTTGAGGCCAGAGCTTCTGCAAGGACTCGTTTTTCAAATTGATGTCAGCAGCTTCTTTCACTAAGTTCTCGACGTATGTCTGGCAAAGTGTTCTTCTTCCCTTGATTTCCTGGATGGGAGAGGCATTACACATTGTGAGAGACAACTGAAGAAAGGTTGAAGTAGAATAAATTTCTAACAACTAAGAACATTAATGAAGAAAAGAGTAACTGACACGAAAAGAGGTCATTGCACATTTTTCTGCTGATTTTAGACTGCACAGCCCAGGGTCTACTTCAGCTTTACTGRATGTCATCTTAGTACAGTTTGAATATTATTAACTAAAATTTACTTTGAAGAAGCCATGCAAATATCTTTAGAGCATTAACATTTTTATTATTTTCTATTGAAATAGCAAGGAAAAAAGCATAGAAAGTTCTAGACTTCTTTCCTTTCTTTACATTCCTTCATAACCTTCTGTGGTTATTCACTAGCTGTGAATATACAGCTACCTGCCCTAACAAGAACACTACCACGGAGAAAACTAAACTAGTACACATCCCCTGCATATTCTCCCCGATGAACACCAGCATGCGCAGAGCTAACAGGTAGTTTATTCAGTATTGAAGTAACCTGAACCTTTTTTCCATTAAAAACAGGAGAACACTTAATGCAACAAATGGGTCTGCATTTTAGTCRCTTGTAAACGATATTAATTGCTCCATCAGAAGCCATAACAACTTTGAACAGTTATGCTGTTGCTAAATACTTAATTTGATTTACAGAGTAGCCAAAAATATTAGGTCATGCTACAGCCCAGCAGAACAGTGGGGTTTTTTTTTGTTTTAAATAAGACACAGGAAAATACTTTCCAATGATTTAATTGAAAAACATAATTTCAATAAATTTCTGATGGGAATCAGGAATTGGCTCTTATTGCCTTACTCTTGTGATATCCTGTAGCAGCTGCGGTCACATAAATAACACTAGTGATGGACTAGATGTGAATCAGTACACTGTGAAGAAAAAATACGTATTTTTTAGACTAGACAAAAACTACAGTATTCTTACAGCGCTTGTTCCACGGTAAAGGTCAAGAGGAATCCCTCCCTGGCTCACTCTATGCCCTTGTAGTTTTAATGGCTGTCTGCTATACAGCAGTCATATATCACTCCCCCTGCAACTGAAGTTTCACTAAAATTTAATCTTGCCACATATCTGCAGTCACTATCTCTTTTTCATGTGATCTATGAGATAATCATTGCATTGCATTTTTCTTAAGAGCAGTGCATTTCTGAACTTGACCACATTTCTGGCACAGTAAGATTTACCTCTTCCCCTACAGTGCAAGGGCAGCTACACGGACAAACAGAAGGAACAGCACAAGGCAGCTGGCACTCACGGAGACTGCTCAGACAGGAGATGGTGGCTCCAAGAAAAACGTCCTCCCTGCAACTATCCCATTTTGCCCAAGCAAAGGAGTTCAAAAACATGAACTGAAAAAAGCCTGACTGATGCACTTGGCTGAAACAAGTCAGCCTACACTTTTGTTACTAAACAATTTGCTACCTTTCTTTTCCTCTAACTTATCTAAAAGCTAGCAAACAGCTCTTACTAGTGATTTGTAGATGATGCAGATGAACTGTAGATGTAGCCTATGCTATCTCTACTCTTGTCTGAAGGTGTCCTCCTAAAGGAGATATCCCAGCACATGCCAAATTATTTATTCTCACAAAAAAACAACTACGCTCACTTCTTCTGTATTACTAATGTAGGAACATTTCATTACCAAAGTAAGGCTCATAGGTGAGAAGGTATTTATGCAACCACAGCACTGCTCAGAACCACTTCTTTGAAGGCGCAAACCCTCCATGAACCTGCATTCTGGAATAAATTAGACAGAATGCCTGCTTGATCAAACTACTGACTAACGAGTGTAAATAYGGTAAGCAGGGATATTTTAAAATTGCCATTTTGAAGAACGCAACTGAAACTTGATATATTGACAAATGCCAACAGTCACAGACAGAAGGTACATAACAGAGGAAAAAAGTATTTTTGTAACGATATATCTACCTCAAGCTTTTCCATATGAAAGTCCTTGGTACTGTAATTCAATGTGGCTCGAGCTGTGCTTTCTCCTCCAGCTCTGTTATCACTACCTTCCTCATTTCCAATTCCAGATTTCTTTCCCTTTCCCTCTAGCAGATAGTGAAATTGCTTCCTCCTGTGAAAAGATAATAAAAAGATTTACAGTTTTAATTACTGGAAACTTCTTTAAAAAGTGCAGATGTTTTTAGTTATCTAATGCTCTTACTTTTTCTTCTCAGCCTTTGAACATATAGTTTATGAGCTCTCAGTTTATTGTATCCTCAAGCCACTTAAAATATATAGATGAGTCTAGATAATCCTTCATTAATTTGTTTCAGTACAGTTTGCTCTTTGACATGTGTTACACAGCATGTCCTTAATAGGAAGTTGTGCAAAGAAGACAGTTTTATTAAGTTACTTGTAGAAGACTAAAAATAACTTTAACCACCGTTTTCTTACAGCACCAGCCCTAGAAATAGTCTGTCTTCAGTATAGAAGTCTATAAATTTTCACAAATAGTAGCACAACTAAAGAATTAAACAAGTAGTGCATTTGTGTGTATATGCTTACCCTAACAAAGAGGCTTCATATAGTTTGAGAAAGCTTTTTTCTTCATGAATGAGAAAATGCTAATATTTTTCATTTACACCACCTTTTCAGAAATATTTTGCGATTTTTTTTTTTTTTTTTTTTTAAACATAGCAGAGATTTCTCATGACAGTGGAAGCAACCAATGCATTCTGGCCAAATACCAGTTCAGTTCACTGTACTCTGCCTTTACACAGTTTCACTGAAGTTTCAACTGCATATGATGATGTTTTGTTACTAAGATTGCTAACTGTTATAATGGTACATTGTTCAAGTGAYGACATGTTCCACCCAGACAGAAATTTCCATTTCCATGATAAGAAACTGATATTCTAATAATTAGAAGTAAAGCTTATCAACAGGACAGAACATTTACTGCAAAAAAAGTAACTGAAAGATCTGCATAAGTAACTTAATTCTTTATTCTCTCAGAACCATTTACTGCTATTTCAGTCACTAGCTGTTGGACTAAAGTTTTTATCTTCTTCTATCATTGATTATTTTTACCTAGATTCCCCAAGCAGTGGAAGCATACGATAGTGCGGCAGCTCAGAAGATGCTACATAGGCCAAAATGCCAAAGAGCCTTTCAGCCATTACAATATCATTTTGAGTAACCTGTAGGGAGAAAAAAAGAAAAGGGGCTTCAAAATTGGCACATTTTTATTTCACCATAGATGCACTGAGAATCAACTGAAGTCTGTTACACAAAACACCACATGCAATTCTGTTCTCGCTTTATCTTCATTATGATCCTCTAAATCTGACATGAATAGCACAAGCCAAGGAAATTTACTCAGTGACTTCTCAACTTTTGTATCAAATTAAGTTTTTGATCAAGGTTTAAATCTTTTTGGAAAGGGACATATCCGTTTTTTAAACTTCAAAAACTACAACCTTTAATATGTACTTCCAAATGGTTTTCACATTCTGTACTATACAGATGGTAAGACACAGAGAAATGGCGAGCATGAGCAAGGGCAAGCATGCACATTAATATTAAAAACAGAAGGCCTCACTAAATAAATTGTTGAGAGCGCAATATCTCTGCTAGGAGAGAAAGGTCTAAACAAAGAGTAGGCATCTACGGAAGCAAAAGACATAACACACAGAAGTGCCTGACAAATAAATGATTTTTAAGTTGAGAAGCATAAGAACACCACTAAGACACCAATGTTCAATTCTCTCTAGTTGACAGAAATTCATGTTCTCCATCTCATATTACTATACTTTTCTCCATTTGACAACTTATCTTTAAACCAACTAAGGGTCTTAACTTCGCTAATTGTAACGCAGTACAATTGTTAGATTTAAGGAACACAAAGAAAAATTATGTGAAGTGTATTTACTTTTTTTCTTTCGTAAGACTGAAAGGACAACAACATACTTCAGCTAATTTAATCACCAATTCATCTCTGTTTAAAACAAAATTAATTTGTAAGATCAACAGTAACAAAGAAGCAAGATTTTCTTACCTCTATTCCATTTATCTTCTGTAGATTAAAATGGTTCAGTCTAAACAGAACATAGTACTTCCACAAAGTGAAGCTGACAACTGGATTTCCCTGAGGGTCAACAGTCARCTGTTCAATGCGATTCACTTGGGCTAATGCATTGAATTGCTGCAGTGCCACAAGATTCGTTTCCTTAAACTTCAGGTGCTTTAATAAAAAAAAGTCAAAGCACAATTAAAGACGACAATTAGTCAACAAGGTAATGCCTATTCTATTCTACTCTAGTTATTTTTAAGCTCAAATAAAAAGGCTATAGGTCTCACTAAAGAATTGGGGTCACCTGACTTGCACAGTCTAGAAGACAAAATACATTAGGGAATCAAGTACTTGGTGTATTTCATACATGTAAAAAGAGCAAAATAATCTTTTAGCAATTTATACAAGTGTGGTATATTGGGCTCTACAGTGTCATAACTGCGGCAAGTGGAAGGAGAAAAAAAGGATGGTGAAGATAAATGCATSTGTGGGGGCTTGCAGAATCTCAGCGGAAGTTTAACTCATAAAAGCAATTAAGTTGTTAAAACCCTAAGAGGAGGTTGGGATTTGACCCAATTTAAAAATTACTTTACAWATTACTATACGTATCACTCTCCATCATCTATCAGTGGCGCCCTGGCCAACTGGGGACACTCATCCTAGATGGAAGGATGGGGACACTTATCTCAGATGGAGGATCTGGGGAACTACAGGCCTCTCAGCCTGACCCTGGTATCAGGGAACGTTCTGGGGCAGATCATCGTGAGGGCCATCACACAGCACGTGTGTGACAACCAGGAGATCAGGTACAGCCCACATGGCTTCATGAAAGACAGGCCCTGTCTGAACAACCTGCTTCAAAATTACTGATTCAAATACCTGAGAAAGGACATGCTGAAGGGACTTCTTTAGTCACATGCTCTTGTTCACCACCAAGAAGAATTCCAAGAGTTGTACTCAACTACCTATAATCTTGTTTTTTTTTTTTTCCCTCCTATCAGTGAACTCCCAACATAAACAGAGGTCTCTTGAAGCTTCAGGTCCGTAATATTATAGAAAAAATACTACTTCCACATCATTTTTACTATTTAAAGACAAACAACTAAGTCAAARGAGTTGTAAGTCTAAAAACAACACATTATAATTCAAATTCTGAAACAACCTAGACAAAAAAAGTATTAAATTAAAATGAGCCATACAGGTGAAAAAAAGTCAGACATGTATCTCGTACGTGAATACTATCAAGCAGGAAGTGGTCAAAGTAATATCCCAACGAGGAATCTATAAGCTGAAATTTTAACTCAGTTGAAATTTGATATCTTCTTACCACRGAATTAGGAAATTTGGTCTTCAACTTTGTTAACACTTGAACAATTTCATCAAACTCCATGAACATAAAGGAGACTGTGACAACAGCGGCAGCTGTTTGAACACTCCAGTTTCGATCCAGGCACTCCAGTGCTCCAGAACCATACAAGTAAAGGGTATCTCCTTCTACCTCTACCAAGTGAGACTCAAGAACAGACAAGCCTTGTACTGCACTGCTCAGCAGTGTATCAAGAGACCTGTGAGGAGGAAATGCAGTAACATAAGAGGTAAATTGGGACAGTAATGAATATTACTTTACTCATTTAATAAAACCTGAACCATCAAATATGATTGCAAGCATCAGCATTGCAATACCCAGTCTGATTCAAAGACATTCAGGGCTGGAAAAACTCAAATGATGCTGAAACTGTTGAATCTGATGGGTTTTGGTTTTGAAATGTCGAAACCTCCTGCCTGCACAGAATGCTTCAGTTGTGGCATGAATTTGTACTTGCTATTGAATTTGYGCAGACTACTTTTTCAGGATTTTGCCTAAACAAACCAGCATTTTGGTTGTAGCATACCACTTTTGTTGTAGCCCAACTAAGGTAGATATTGCTCATTCAATTTTGCRCTTGTTTTTGGAATTACATGAAGTGTTAGAGGGCCACCTCTGGATGTATTAAAATAAACCACAAAACATGTCATACAAGTAATATACACAGAATACTGATTAGATTGAGGGTATTTTGGAATCACCCTTTTAAAAAAAGCATCTGGATTATCTTCTAGCATCTCACATTAMCAACCTTAAAGTGGGTTGATCACAGCATCTCTAAAGGTGGAATCAAAATGTTCATTTAGCATTCACCAAACAGTTTTAAAACCTTCCTAACCTCACTTTTAAAAAGGCAAGATAGTTTTAAGATTGCAAAGAAAAGTCTTAGTTTTTTTTTCTTCCTGAACTAACAGTACATTTTTTTTCTTAAGAATCATTAAGTAAGAAATAAATCCAAGCAAAAGTCAAAGAACTACTATTTTTGAAAAAGCACAGATTCAAAACCTGGTCCAAYAGGATAGAAGTTCAAAGTGAGAAGATCAACATAAAGCTCTCAAGTCCTCTGCTGTTTTCTTTTCAAGCTGAAGGTCACTTAATCTAAATTGCCAATGAAACACGCAAGTTTAAGCTTGCTTAAGAACTTATTATCTAATGTTTAAGTGTGAAATCCTTCTTTAGCAAAGTTACATAATCATTTTGCTTTCACTTTTGTCAATTGATAGTACTTGTTACTAATCCCCAACAGATTTAACTGACRAATAACAGATTTTTTCAGGCTTAATTTGAAAATATTACTTCTGATAATGAAATATAGTGAGAACTCCTATTTAATAAGTAACTTGGAACATGAAACATAAATAGAAAGACATATTTCCCAACAAAATACCTGCTTTCTTCAGGAAATACATATGCAGCACTGCCATTGATCTGACATGGCTCATTATCCTTATTCGTATTCAAAGAACCCACAAGGGCTACTCGATTCTGCTGTATCTCCCACTGACGAGCAATGTTACAGATCGTTAATCGTTTCTTTTCCTGAAATAAGATATGAAAGTCATAACAGATTATGACAGAGCAGTATCAACACATTGGCTTGTTCCAAAAGGCATATGTTGCTTACTCCAAATACTTAAGATTATTTTAAACATTTTGATTTGAACATATAGGAGCACCAGTTAGCAGTTATGCATTCATTTCAATGATTCAGTGAATCTTTCTGGCATTATTTTTCATAGTTGCCAATGAACAATAACTTCACAAAATTTAGGATAAGAGAAATGAGACGTAACAAAGAGTGGGTAGATGCCTACATTTAAACTAGCTAGTCTGGATAGCCACAGAAACCCTGCTTTAAGGATCTGGAGATGGCTGTAATCCTCCTGAAGAGGGCCCACAGCTTGTGACAGGCTCCCTGCTGCTAGTGAGYTTAGCAGAAACTAACAGTTAGGTAACTGCTACAGTCATAGCAACAAATGAAACAACTGCATAAGGCGGAGTGAGGGGAGACTTTTTTTAAAGCAGAAAATGAAGTTATCTTTGTGATACACAAGTACTAGAATATATCTAAGTTCAAACATTATTTTGAATTCTAGACAATTCCTCTTAATGAATCACTGAAAGTCTTGGAGTTGTCTATTAAATACCTGCTGTTGTACAGTCATGCAAAGCCTGCCAACTACCTACAAATCTTAATATATCCAGTGTAGCATGCAATACATTCACCACAGGGTTAAACAGCAAGGTGCCCTAGAACGAGCAGTTGGGCTCTCTTCAAGTGAAAACTGTGCAAGAAAAATCATTTCAAAGGATAAAGTAGTTCAGTTTACTACTTTGYCAAAGGACTTATCTTATTATCTGATTACAGAACACTAAGTAYACATATTTCAAAGAGGAATATCTTATCATAAGAAGTAGGAAGCTGAAATAGTCAGTTTTTTCCACTACATTTAAGATATTGTTTGTTCTGGAGGCTGGAGTTCTCCTTATCACTTCACCTACTGTAAATGGCTCTACCATTTCCCAGCTGTTACCTGTGATCTGACAACTTCTACAGAGCTTTCAAAACTTTATTTTACAGAAGCAATTTTTACAAGTGGGAACTAGCAATAATTATTTCTTTCTAGTTAATACGGAGTTCAGACACAAATGAAAAGGAACTTTTTTTTCTAAACAATGGGTTACAGCAGAGAACAAAAGGCTAAAGAAAAGTGACGAAGAAGCTCCACTCCTAACGCCACTGTCATTAGACCTATCCCATCCTGGGCACACCTGAGTTTTGGTGTCTGGCAGATACAGGTCCTGACCGCAAAGGATGACACCTGCAACCTACCTGCTGCTCAAATGACTGCTTTGCTCCTACTATAAAGAGGAACAACATCACCAAGAACAAGTAAAGGAAAATCTAGTTCAAAACATCCTTTATGGCAGCAACTAGAGCACTCACGAAAAACATAGGAGATCAAGTTTAAGGAATCTGAAATCACTGCAGAGTCCATAACYTGTGGCTTTATTTTGCTTCTAGATTTGAGAATGTGAAGTTTGCCATCTATAATCAGTCTCATGTAATTAATTGGGGTTTTTGCTATAGTATGGATTGGTTTAGTGAGAAGGGTTTCAGTTGCAGAGTATAGTGTTTAAACTACTAAAAATGTTTTAAAGAGATAGAAGGATATGGGATATAGAAAAAACACAAAAAATAGCAGGATGCAGAATATTACTGTAAACTAGTTTAAATCATATTTATCTAATCTCTATCACAGAAAGTACCTTAAGCAAAGTCTGTTTATGGCTTTCACGCTTCCTTTCTTCCTCTTTCCTGACTGCAACTGATGCCATGCGCCTTTCTTCTTCCTAGATGAATATTACGAAAGTAGAAATAGACCAGATTCTGAAAATATCACTGAAACTATTACTATACCCTAATGTGGGTATTTGAAATATTTTTTGGAAATTGATGTAGCTTTAGAACAGTATCAGGAAGAATACAATGGAATAGTAAACAATGGTTTTGGCAAAGGCAATAGAAACTCTCAGGGACCATGACACATACTTGGCCAAATTCACACTGGAAATATATATACACACACACATACATATGGGTGTGTGCGCATGTGTGTTTATATATATATATTTTATATATATAATTATTTTACCCCCACTACCAAGATGAAGATTTTTGAGATGTCTAGTCATGCTCAAACCACCCGTCTTGACTGCACACAAGCATATGTCCTGTAATGACTTCACAAGAGCAACAACTGGATTCCTTTGGAGAGTGCAAGTTAACAAACTGAAAGGATAAACATTATTTAGAACACAGTAAAGTATATTCTGTAACAGTGATTTATATCTTTAGCATTTTTGTACCAGTTACTGCATTTAGTAGCTTTTTTTTTTTTTTTTTTTTTTTTTTATGTGAAATGCACATAAAGTGGGCTGAATTTCATTTATGGTTGAATCCTAGCTCAAGAAGATTCATTTTTATGGCTATAAACTATTTCCAGTGGCTTGCTTTTCTTGATCAGTAACAGAACTTAAGAAACAGTATTTTCAAAGTCAACTATAACACACTAACAATTTCTCAATGTTTTCGTTCAAGAAGAGAAACATTAATTTCTGAGTCATGCAGCAAAGACGCTTAATTTTCCCGGTACAGCAATTTAATACTGCAGCACAGCCATATTAGGTTGAACACTGTCTGCTTACAGAAGTCTAAATACTCTCACAGCACAGTATTTTTAGAACATACATTTTTCAAGTAACAAAGAAATATTCACTACAAAGTAAAAAGCCTAGAGTTCTTCCAACACAAATATTCTGAAAGCATACTTCAACTTGTTTTAATTCATATGCCATTTGGGTGTTTCTATTAAAGTATCATCCAAGAACACAGAGAAACTGTTTGCTTTGCCTTAAAATAGAAAGCTCCTGTTCCAGATCGGASACCCTTGCCTTTTCACTTTCACTTTCCAGACATTTGTGCATGAACCAACAGAAAAGAACAGAAAGCATCAATATCCCTGACAAATCAAAATGTCATGTACAGAAACATATAGATTATTCTGTGTTTAGAGTATCTCAAGAACCCCCAAGCACATGGATGAACGCCTACGGGAAGGTGAAATACAACAGSGAATTCCCAGTGAGCATTACTGTCGCATTCCCAGGTAATCATTTCTAAAGCTTAAGTTAAGTCTCCAAAGCAAGGGCCCTTGCTTTGCATGTAGAGCCCACTTCAAGCCCAATAGTAGACCATAAAGTTGGACACCAATCTTTAAAGCGATTAAACAACAAAGTTTACTGCCTCCTCATGACTTTAACCTACTAGGCTTTATATATTTAAAGAAGATGTCTACCCTAGCTCAGATGAAGGCATGAGACCTGGTTAGGGGAAGCTTTTCTTACCCAGTCTTACACAACATGTGTCTGGAGCACTAGTAGGAAAGCCTTTTCCTCCCCTGCCTAAAAGCTGCTTTGACCTGTTGAGCATGAGGCTTTGTTGGCAGCTTCCTCTGCTACTGGGCTACTCGTTTTTTTCCCTGAGCTGGGGATTACCAAGGGGCTGATGTCATCCAAGTACAGAATAATTCAGACTGGGAGGGACCTCAGGAGGTCACTTAATCATGCTTCTACTAAAAGGAACATCATCAATAAACAAAAAAACAAATACAGAAGGCCTTATAGAACCTAGCACATTAAAATACTAGTAATAAATCTGAATATCTGAATGTGAAGAAGCTGAGGCTGTCCAAATTATGAGAGGAAAAAAATAATAATGAAAAAACATACCCMCACACACATTTCAGATACTTGTCAAACATCAGCATGTAATCAATAATGCAAGGTAAAAATACACCAAAATACACTGGTCTTATCAGTCTGCATCATATAAGGTATGATACAAAATGCTTAGAATTCAGACAAGGATTCTCATAGCAGCTATTTAGAGCCCTTCAATTAACTGGATTAGCATAAACCTCAAAAGAAGTCTTATTACAGATATTGAAAAAAGTATTTTTTACATACAGTTTTACAGAAAAATATATTCAGTCTAAAAAAATCCAAATTTCACTCACTATTCTTGGAAACAAAGTGACAGAGAATATATTTGCATAAAGACCAAGGGTCAAAATTTACTCTTTATGGAAATCAAGTCAGTACACATTTCTTGACTGATTTTACAGAACACATGCAATCAATCAAAAAACCCCAAAGTTATAAAACAAAGCCTTTAATCATCTGGCTGCAATTCATTCATTATCACCCACTCTTCCCTTTTTAGCTCCAGCTCTTTTGAAACTTTCCACGTCTACTTTTTTTGCTCCTCATTATTCTGTTGCTATTGTCTGTAACTTTATAYGTCTCCTCTTGACAGTTCCCAGATGGACTAAAGCTATTTAAAATCTTATCTTCTGTATCTTGTCCTTTTGTACATTCAAAAGCATTAAGTATTAGGCTAATAATAATGCTGATTTCATTTCCATTAAAGAATTGCTGGCAGCTCTGCCACCTACAAAACTGATGCAAACCTATTTTGCCTCTTTCCCTAAATTCGATCTAATTTCCAACTGTCAGGACCCACTACGGAAAGAMGACCTCCACTATAGCTCACAGTAACTTGGATTCCAGCTCGGGGTTGGACAAACACGCTCGGCACTCGTGGAAGGGAAGTGTCCCACTCCAGCAGCCTGTCAAGAAAGCAAAATTCATCATACTGAAGAGTCAGCTACTACAGCGACCACAGGAAAAAACTCTGTTAGAGATGAGCAGATGTTTTTCCAGAAGCAAAGATGACAGAYCACTAGGATAGAACTTGGATGTTCTACCTTATTTTGAAATCTTCTCCATTTATTTCATCTTCATTTCCCACCTAAAAGGTTACTGAATAAACAGGAAGCCATCTTCACAAAGAGTCAGAAAAAGAATTTATAATAAGGAAAGGTCTCAGTTTCTGCAACACAGAAACCACTGAATTGTGATTTTTAGGCTGTTGGTTTGTAGTCTCAATGTGAAGTAACAGTGCTGATAAAACGCAAAAAATAAATCATAATAAAGTTACTATCATCTTCACCATAGCTCCCTCTGCTGCTAATTGAGAACTATTGTAACAAAAACCACAAATCTTCATTTTAGCCACCAGTCTTGCAAGACGAAACACCTAGCAAGACCTGAGATGGACCCTAGGACTGAGCACACCAGAATGCTCACACTCCTGTTCACAACTGGGTTACTTCACAAGTTTAGTTCAAAGCGAAAAGAGACAAAGTTCTACCATTAAAAACATGTAGCAGATTTTGTTGGGAAACAGTATTGAAGTGAGAAATAGAAGTAGTATTCCTAATTAAAATATTTCACACTAAGATAGATAAACATTTCATTCATATTTAAATACCTACTCTATGTAGACCAATAATATCTATTAACTTTAAAATATATTCCTGTAGTTTTTCATAAAAGAGCTGAAGCATACGTGCCACTGAATAAGATCACTTTTAAAAAACTGAGAGCTACAAAACATTCAAAAAGTTTCAATGCCCTGAAAACCAGCCACTACAGCACATTAACCAAGCAATGCAACAGACTACAAAGTTGACCAGAGCTCACAACTGTAATACACTTCAGCTTCATGCAAACCTAGATCATTTAGCCATAAATCAAACCGCATTATCTTGCGCCTGAGGCAGACTGGAAGCACAAATAACACATGGTTACTGGTGATTACCACTAGTGACACCTGGGAATTTGCCATGCCACTAACTCAGCCTTTCCCACACACATCCCCTAGGCACTTATTATCTTACAGTAATTTTTGTTCTCATAGTTATGCAAGGCACTAACTCATCAGAGCTGCCTACCTTCCTCCAAATCACTACCTATGATTTTGGGGTTTGTGCCTCTGGAGCTTAAAAGCCTTAACATTATGTTCAGAAAGAGCTTAGGAATRAAATAGTCCAAGAAAATCTCAGCTTCCTCACAGAAATAAATTAAAAGTTATAACAACGTAATGCAATCTCGAGTAGGTCAGATTTGCCCCAGTTTACAAAACACTGAGACAACAACAATCCATAATCATTTTGAATCAAGCGTAGAGTGTTCTATATTTGCAGAGCAACTATATGTTTAAGCAGCTCCCTAACGCAGTTACCATCCATCTTGTGCCCTGAAGTTCATCTTCTCCAGGGAATGCTACCGAAGAGGTCAGGCACCAAAGGGAGCACATCTCAAAAACATACAGGAATATGCAAAAGCTGTTATTCTAACTTAAAATATTTATCTCACCCCTACAAAAACAGCAACTAAAAGGCTGAAAACTGATACAATTYTATAAAACTCAGTTTTCCAGAACTTCTGAACAGGTTAGAGAAGAATTTCTAGTCAGAAAAAACACAAACATCCAAGTCCAACTCTCAATTCTTTGAAAGACAAAGCAACACTTAAGTTCAGAATGTCTAGACATACTTCAAACTAAGGAAGAAAATACTATTAGCATAATTAGAGTTTGGTTCTACTAATAAAGCGAGAAAAAGCATATGCTCATACTGTATTTCCACTCCTCCACTGAGTTATCTTTAACCTTATGTTTAATGGCAACATGCTGCATTACTGGTCAGAATAGCTGGATTAGGCATCGCCAGCTTTCTAATTCTACCACAAATCTCACGATACTCGTTATTTTTCTTAAAAACCCCAGTTTAAGTCATACAAATATCTGGGTAGCACAATTTTATTAGAAAAAGTATATCACCTCCTCTGCACAGAGTAAAGTTTAACAAAAATTCTCAAGGCTCAAAAACCAGAAGGCAAATAATAAGAACACAAAACACATTCTTTTTACAAGTGGCTTTATGAGCAGCACAACTAGTGAAGTCTGGTTTTCTATGGCTTGCCGTCTTGTGGTTGAGCCTCTGATGTTTAACAAGGTGTGAACACAGATTAATCTTTCCCCATGGCTGTGCACTTCTAATAGCTCTTCTTCATGCACTGAGTTTAAAAGGGGCTTTGAGCTCTTTCTGCAGTTTTTCCRTTGCTGACAATGGTATTACAATCTATATCTATTGTATCTGGAGGGAAGCATGTCTTCTCCCCCCATTCTGCAGCTGAAGTTCAGAGTAAAGAATCCCTACTAGCATTAGAGTTTCAGAAATAACACTAAGAAAGAGTTTTGCACAACAAAGCAATCTGCTGATATGCAATTAAGTTGGTATAAATTCAAAAAGAAAAAGTCCCCCAATACCTGGAAAGAAGCGATTGAATAGATACTGGTGTAAACACTTAGACCGTGTTTTCCCCACGCATATAATACTTCACATAATTGAGTCTATTTTAGATTCACAGTGATTGATTACAACACAACAGGATGGKACAGTACAAAACAGGTACAATTCATAATGCCCAAGAGCCTTTGTACAAAGCAAATGAACACTTCAAAGACAGTGGCTGTATCAGCATCTAGTCAAAGATTGCTGTTGTTTGTTAAGCCTATTATACATGTTATCTTGCTGTTACATGGATGCCTCTTGTAAGCAGATCAAGCTTACACAGATTTCAGAGAAGAATTAGCACAGTTACTTTTAATACGAGAGAAAAAAAGATGCTTCGCTCTATGGCTCAATGCCCCAGTATGTTCCCCTACATGCTCTACCTCACTGCATGTTTCTACGGAGCCTGTAGAAGCTGCCTCTCCACAGGTCATTTTCTCCTATTCATTCAAGGTTACCTGAACTTGATCAGCAGATTCAGAAATGAAGGGAGGAAGAGGAGGTTAAGCAAGGTAGGGAGAAAGGCAGATGGACCCACAGAAACAGTGCAACCAGTGAGTCTCCTTATAGGGGCTGACCAAAACACACAAKATGGTTAAATGAAAGATGCTAAAAATAACACTGATTTTAGAGTTTACATTGAACTGCTTTGGTAGAAACAGCCTGTTGCTTTTCAGCTATAGAACAAGTCAATACAGACTACATGGTGAAAGTGCAAACTAGGAGCTCTGTAGCTTCTCCCACTCTCATAATGGCATTTAGTCACACAGTGCCTACTAATGAAAAACAATCAATACATTCTAAAATGTTTAAAAGTGAAGTAAAGCAGCACAGTTACATAATACTGACCAAAAAGGTTTAAACTTTGAATATTTTGTATAATATCATGAAATTCCAGGTTTAAACAAAAATGGATTTTTTCCTCTACATACAAAACCCTACATTTTACTCTTAAAACTAAACATTTAGCAAGTGACAAAAATACATTGTGGAAGATTTCTTACTGTGATTCTCTTCATATCTAGCTGTCGGAGCTGCATCATATGGTGGAGAACAGTGTGCTTGTACCATGTCTCCTGAGCTATTGGATTGCCATCAAGGGTGATATCTGACAAGGATGAGGAATCAGCAAGGCACAGAATATCCTCAAAACTGAAACCAAATAAAGTTCATAGTTTTAATGCCATAGGATAAGAAGACCTTTGAGAAGGAAAGTTTTCTTCTCTTAAGGAAAGAATATTTTTCTGTACTGAAGAAAACAGCATATCATACATGAAAAACAAAAGTATTTTGAATTATCAAGAACAGTACTGCTGTTCTGATTTTTAATTTCTCCACACATACATATATAGAGATGCAGAATTAAGCAAGCTTGTTATCTMAAGGAAAAGTTTCACATTAAAAGAAACCTAAAAAAGTATACATATCAACTCAGAACTCCTAATGCATATGAATTGCATTTGCCATTAAAACCAGTGCAACACATCCAGCGGTTGGGTTTGCTCGTATTTTCAAGACCTTCCACTAAAACATACTTCCATGCTCTGAAATTCTCAACACATCAGCAAAACAGAACACTAATTCTGGAGCTAAAGCATATGTGCTTGATTTATCCTGCTTTTAGCTGCCCTATTAGTAACTCAATTTTAGAACAACCAACAGTGCAAATCAGTGAACTTTTTTGGGTCTTCACATAGATATATGAAAAATATAGCTTTCAAAATCCAACGTAGAAAACTTAATATAAGATACTTCGTACAGAGGCATCCCAATTCTACAAGTGAAGCTTTAATATAGCACATGTACCAAGGATACTTTCCTAACAAGCATGTCTCTCCCCCAACAGGAGCAAGTGCAATGGTGGTGAGCACTGATGCTCCATGTGAGTGACGAGGCCACGTCTCAAAGCTCTCTCCCTCSTCTGCTCTTCACAGAGCAGCTCTAGAGCCACATGCTGCCGCTGATGCTGTTTCACACTGGCTCAAATGACTTTTTCCTCCAGGGCTCAAACAAAATAGTTGCCTCTCTTTCCAAAAATCCTCCTCCCCAGGGACAAGGAGCAAACCATCTCCTTTCTAGCAAGGACAAATTCATCTCAAGTRGCATTGTCAGTAATAGAGACAGAATTGTTGAGTTCGGGTTAAACTCTCAAGAGTGTTTTCTGGATTTCCACTCCCCCTCCCCAGATTTAAGGTAGGCCACTCTGAGCACTCTGTCAAGAAGKAGGAGTCCTGCATCCAATCCCCTCCTCTGCTAAAAGGGATACAAACACTTCTTGCACCTTGTAYGAGAACACTGCAATTATGAAGCAGCAGAGTACCCTGCCGTGATGCACATTCAGCATCCAGCTGTGATATCGGTTCACTTCTAAACATTCAGCAGGCATGAACTGGGATACCTGTCTCCTGATAAATAACATGCTCGCTTGCTCTTGCAGCCATGATTTTTTTTATAACTACATTCCACAAAGTGAAAACAGTCTGAAGTAAASATTGAAAGATTGTACTATCAAATAGCAACTCGGGTAGTAACTCACTCAAACCACAGCTTCAAGAAGCACTCAGTCAATGAAAACTTCTGACTCCCATCCCAAATCTCTAGCAACTAAGCTACCTATGAAGACAGACGTCTCTACCACCTTTCATTCCCATTGTACTTTTTTTGTATAAATGCTTAGCAAAAGTATCCATTACTTTTCATTTTGATGACAAAAAACCCTTGTTTAGACTAGACTAAGCACATTCCTTCTCTTAGGTGTCCCCCTAGGTAACCAAGTCAGGAAAAGCATTTAAAAAGCCATTTAAAAGGGTTGTAGAAATGTTTAGACATCATACCACAATTCACTAGTGTTATAGATCTACGGCTTTTTTGATCAGTTCAAACAGCATCAAGAYAAGCATATAAAATTTGTAGCATGGAAACAGCTTTCTCAAAAATATTTTTGTATCTATTCCAACTAAAAAAATATACAAGAATGTTTTACAGTAAGTTTTTGAACTAAACTAAGACTAGATCCATTAACATTAACTAAAGCTCCAATGAATAAAAGATAAAAACCAGGATCACATTCTCAAAATAAGCTACTTCCAACAAAGTTTGAGAAGTGATTATACAAAATTTGAGGACATCGTCTTTAAGAAAACTGCAGAAAAATCCGAAGTGTTTTTCATTCCTTACACACTGTAAAAGTACTACTATGAACCTACACAAAGCAATGTGAGAAAGGAGTCAAAAAAACTACATGAAATACATCAGGTACCTAAGAACTATACAGAAATTTGAGGGACTGCAGCAATGCTCCCTGATGTCAAGGGAAACAGCTACTGCAGTCCCCCATTGCTCTTGCCAGGCTAAGACATTTGTTGGAAAAGCAGAACAAATGGCATGTTCTCAATTTGGAAGTTATCCAACAGAAGGAGGGAGGGAGAAGAAAAAAGCAGCAGAAAGGCAAACCTTATCTTATTATCCCAATTAAAAATATGAAATTAATATACTCTTCATTCATCTGCTAGTCTCTTTAACATTCCTGAAGCTCATCTTGAGTTTTTAAAATGCTTAATACCCAGGAGGATTTAGGAGATCACTGCATTAGTACCCTAAGAGCCTAAGGAACACAGACAAGTAGGTTGGAGCTGTCTGCAAAAAACATAATACAGGTCAGCTTAAAACATTAAAGAAGCCCATATTAAGTATACCATTTTTTACAGAATGAAACAGGTACGACAGGAACGATGAAGCCTTTTCAGTAATTAGACTCTACCTCTATTCAATTCTATTGAAATAAGCCTGGTAAAGGCTCGTGATGAGCAAGTGATAAAGGTAAACTATATCACTCAACTGAAAATTAATGCAAGGACAAATTTGTTTGAATTTTCTTATATATAAAATCAGTATGAGTATATAAATGCAGATCACATATCTATGCAGATAAATACAGAAGATAGCTCTATTTATTACAAAGAATGCTTAGTTACCTAAAACAGAAGCCCTAATAGAAATCTGAGTTACTCAATTTCTACCATATGGTTTCAAAGTGCCATGAATATATTTTTCAGACTTTATTAAGAAACGAATAAAATATAATCAGAAAATTCTGCAATCAATGTAAGTAAGCAGAATCTGACTCAGCAGTTTGTGTCAGGCTTATATATTTCATTTAGCATACAAGCACTTCATTTAAGTGCCTTGCACAATGCTACTTTAACAGATATATTTTAACAATACAGCATACTTGCAATATCTTCTAATTTTCACAATTATAAACAGTAAAGACATCTTGTAAAAAAAGATTTTTCATATTATAATTTTCAAAGCACAAACACATTTAAATGCAAAAGGTTTAAAAAACTTTTCATATTAAAGCAGGAAAAACATAATGGCTTGATTATATAATCTAAGATGTTACACTATGAATACAGATGCTTCTTTATGAGAATTTAAAATTTAATACAGCTGTAATAACATATCTCAAGTTACTGATAGGAAACAAGCTGCTATTCACCTTACCTAGATATGTTATTGAAGCTGAGGAACAAACGCTGGAGACAGGGCAAAGTATCCACATCTTTCTAGAAGCAAAAAAAAAAAAGGAGGCATTAATTCAGTTGCTGAAAAATATCATCTTTTGAAGCTTTCTAGTTTGCCTGATGATGAAATATATTCATTGCTATATCCTATAACCTTGCTACAACATTGACTTCTGTTGAACATGCAGCTCCATTTTTCCCTAGTGCAGACTGCAAGGGAGTGTTTCAGTGCAGATATCTACTCTGCAGAACAAGCTGCGCCACTCGCAAGGCAAACAATGTTAAAGACGACAGGATGAAACTGCTGCTGGTTCCTGAACAGGCTTTTGGGAAAGAAGCCAAGGTGCTGCTTCAGCATTTAAGCTGCACCTTAAATACACTGTAAACAAAGTGCTATAAAAAAAACTTTTGTGAGCATGCTGCAATAAGGCTTTTGAAAATTGCACTGTGCAGCAGGATGACTAGCACTTAAAAATTTCAATGGCTCTTCTGTCAGAGAAAAACTGAAGGATTTTGTACACTCAGAGTAACCTCGATGATTTTAAGTTTATATATATAGCCTGCAGACCGACCACAAAGATACCTTTAGGCAAAATCACAGAATTACAAATGGATATATTTTGTGCATATATATAAATTTTCAGAATGAATAATTGTGAATTTAATAAATACTACTAAAGGTCTTTGTAGGAGACTTTAAATTTGTCCAAAGAATTAGTAAACAAACATATCAACTATGATAAAGCTACTTATGAAATAAAAATCTACAGTAGCCAGACAGCAGTTTGCAGCGCCGCACGTACCCTCTTCTACCAGAAGGGTAAACTGTACCATCTGAATAGTATCTCTTTATCCTGCTAAGGGGCATCCTCCAGCTTGGGGTCAGTGGACACCAGCCTGCTCACCTGCAGCACACACCAACACAGGGGGCTCACGCCCTTCATTTTAGCCCCCAGTCACATCCACAACCCCAGAGTTGGAAGGTGCATTCTGTGGCATCCTACCAAGGCAGCACTGCAGACATAGYGTTGCTGTTATTAATGAAATACTTGTGTGTAAGCTAACAAACCACGAYGAGAATCACAGCTCTGTCAACAATAAGCTGAGCTCATTAGCTCTGGTCTGTATTAACTACAGCTGCCAACTCCTACTTTGGGGCTCTTCTGCATCCACCTAGATAAGACCATGGAGAGACAGAGTTCACAACTCTCATCTAGATGTACCCTCGGTGCCTAAGGCTACTTACAGTGCTGACATTTGGGGAAGCATGAAGACGAGGATGAAATACATACAAAGACAGACTGTACAAAGTAATTTTTCTTAAGCAGCACAGATTAAGCAATGAAAGAATTTTGTGTTTGGGAATATAAAGTAATTTCCTGGGAAGACGGACTTCTTTAGGTAGAAGTGATCTCTACTGTCCTGAGAAACATACTGCAAGCCTCATGGACATGAGATGATCACCATAGCTACAAGGAAGGCCTGGAGCAACTTCAGTTTTGGTACAAAGCCATTAAGTCAGCACACCTAAGAGGCAAGACCTTTCATCCTATAGTGACACACAACTTAACCAGGTCTCTACGTCTAAGATCAGGCTGACAATGACAAAGACARAATCTCTAGTTCTTAAACACCTAAAAGCAGGCAAGCAGTTATCAACTTCAAACAAAAACGCAGATCATCTTCCTAATTAAGGATGCTAATTCACTACTGGATGAAAAGTAAATAGACATTCCATAACTCCTYGTATGCAGAGATTCATGTTTTTAATGCCAGTTGAGAACCTCTGTAATTTTTTTTTTTTTTCTGCCCACTGGTTCTTCCTCAGAATAGTCCAAGTTCTTGAAGATATCTCCAGTTCAGGACTGCCCTTTTTTTCCCCCCTCTCCAGATCCTACCACCTTGGATGAACTAGAATTGTTATTTTTAAAATAACTATATTTTGATTCAAATATTTCCAGTGAAATGTGATTAAGATAYTCAAGACAAAATAGCCCCAAAATTACTAATCTAAAACTAAAGGATTATAGGAAGTGGTTACACATTTAATTGCTCAAACAGGTTGCAACTGAATTGGATAATTTTAATTATCCAGTACAGTCAACTGCAATGCAGTATGGAGTTTATATAGAACTTCCTTTTATTTGACATATAAGAATATGATGGTTTTTATAAGAGTAATGTTTCTAGCCATCACAGAAGAAGAAATATTGAAAATAAGAACAGTTCACAAAAATGTATTCAGAGAAAAAGTTATGGAAATTCATTATTATAGGGCTGTCATAAAAGAGTAACTAAACCCTAGTCCATGCACTAGAAACCACACTCTTCATAAATTCAGAGTGGGAATTTTTCAKTTTAGCTCTGTATCACATCTATATCGTGATTTAAACTCCAAAAAAGAATTCTACATAAGCCAACAATGAGAAAACCTAAGCCTCTTCCTTAAAGGAAAGGAGTCAAAAACAACTCTCTCCAACTACTTARGTATTCCAAAAGTAAACTAATTTGGATGCTATTTCCATAAAATAATCAATTTGTTTCTCTGTTCTGGATTTGCAGGAATGTAAATTGCAACAGTTCTTTGAATTCAATACAAAATAGTGCAGCTTTCATCTTCCAATGTCTTACCACTTCAGAAAGTTAAAATAAACCTAAAATACACATGCGCATCTAAAAGAAATTGCCTGCCATTCAAACAAGAAAGACTTGATATTAGGAATAAAAAGAACATGTATTTCATATCTCAAACGCCCTTACGTGTCCAAAACTTGACATCACATGACTTCAGAATCCTTCTCTAGAGGAAGGAGAGGTAGTGCCACGTCTGCTAAAATCACCGTCCAACTCAAAAAGTGATCTAATAGACTGTAACCAGGTGACAATCCATTAATYTTATATTATGGACAAAATAAACAATTTCTGAAATTTTATTTCTGAAATAATGCTTCAGGCCAGAGAGGGATAAAACATTAAGACAAAATACAGCAGAGCCTAAGTCTATAACTCATTACCTTTTATACTATTTCTAGTGGAAACAARGACAGCACAGCCAACTATTCCTGAGGTGAGAAAGCACCAGCCATGAGCAAGAGAATCTAGGAAACATAATGGGTGCTGGGGAAGCTAGTAACGGAATATGAAAATTGAGGGAATAATGTCTAGAAAAAAAAGTATAAGGTAGCCTACCTGCTTGAATAACAGCAACTAAGGTGAGAGAACTTTACTTTTATGAAATGAAGTTGCACAAAGTCTCAATATCTGTGCATTAGAATTATAAAGCTTCCCCAAAAATCCTTCTCCCCAAAAGCATGTGCTAGCCAGAATTGTACAACTACAAACCATCACATTTCAACAAAATAACACCRTCACTATGTTTTTTCACCTTCACTGTATAAAAATGAGCACTACAGAAAAATAAAATAAATCAAAACAGAAAAACAAAGATACCAAAAGCCTGAAATGCTGACATGGTTCAATCAAGTAATAACACATCTTGGTTTAAAAAAAAGTTTGTTCCTTACTATAGAACAGACTTGATTATGTCGAAGGTTGAGCTCCGTGAGCGAATCCAGTCCATTAATGTTGTCTACGATGGTTAGCAGGTTTCTGGCAAGGTTTAACACTCTCAGTTCACCCAAGTGGTTGATATTTTCTATTTTAGTGATCTGTAAAAGAAGTGTAAATACACACATGATATTTTACACAGATTCACAATAGAAATACACAGTATATATAGATATATTTTCAGAAAGCAACCTATACAAAAACAGATTCAACTTAATYCAATACTGTGTTTTTTATTACTTTTCTAAATTGTATTAATCTGACAAATTGCCTAAAACAAACTATAGTCTAGTGGAGATTATGGAGTAGTACCTACCACCACCTTTCTAGTCATACTACAGTGAAAACAAGTCAATGGTCCTCTCCTTACCCTCAGAAATCAAATCACTTCAGCTGTGCTGTCCTGTAGCAGCACCCTCAAAGACATTCCTTGACCATTCATATCGTAAGTTTAAGAGGACACTGATGATGTCATGGTATGCCAGAATTGGAGAATTTTGTGCACAGCTGATCCTTGGGCTGTTTCCAAAGGCACAGACACACATGCAGGTCTCCTAGTACACTGCTGCAAGAGAATGTAGCATGGTAGCTCCATACCATATGGTAGCTCTATGGCATACGGTTGCTCCACAGCATCTCAGAAGTCACTGCCAGCTCCCCCTCATGCCTTTAACAGGTCAGCAGCAGCACTCACAGCTCTGTCTCTGGGAGCTCCACACATGGGCTTCCCATGCTGTAAGCATTTCAGCAGTTTTTCCAGAAAAGCTTTTTGAAATACATGTTAAGCAGATAAAAGCAGTATCTAAATCACACCTCACATCAATTTTTGATTCAACTACTGATMATTGTTATCCATCAAAACTTCTCACATATTCTATGTAGAAAATAAAAAGTATGAAGTAAAATGTTAGGATACAAAAAACTATAAAAAGCATAAGAAGAGCAAATACCACTGTTCTGCATAATATATTTTCACAGAGACTGGTAAAAGAAAAGCTAAGCACAGATGGCTAGCATGAAGAGCATGAGCCTCCGCAGATGTGTGTTTAGCTAGAATTACAGCAAATCACAACGTAGAAATTGAAATGATCCTAGCACATCCCTGCTACTGCAGAGATATGGATTGCATCAGCAATTTATAGTCATCCTATTTATAACTGCTCAATTTCAGACCGTCAGCACTATTGGTTTTTCTCTATTTACTATCATGTATCCATGAATGAGGACATGCCTGCTTTTTGTACATACTACATCTATTAAGCCACATACCTTTTCTAAATAATTCAACTTAAAATTTGCTAAAAGTAGTATTTCTACCACTTTTAACAGTATTTTATATTAATAAAAATTATTAACCATTTTGAAATGCCTTTCAAATACATAATATTAAAAGACTTTACTTGAAAACACCCAACAAAACACTTAAAGCAGCTTCAGAATCTTCTGTCATCGCCAATCAATTTCACAAGGTGGAAGGTGAGCAGTCCTGTACTGAAACCCTGCTATACAACCAAACTCTTAATCCTTATTAAAGAAACAGTTCTCTGCAGCATTGCAAAGCAAGCCTGACACTAATCAACATAATTAAAATTTTAATTGTAGTATATTAAAGTATACAATACACACAATCAATTGCAAGGACTATGAAGAAAACAATACTATATTACTATCCATTTATCTGTATTATTGTTAATATTAGAGGCTTTACATAGACTTAATGTTATTAGGAGGTTGCATCTTCTTACAATTTTTAATAGTAAGTATTAAAATTAAGCAGCTTACTAAATCATGCAGCAAACCAGGAAAAAAGTGACAGCAAGAAATTTGTGTTTGTCCTTGACTACAAAAGTGAAATAATTTATTGGGCATTACACAGATTTTTCTTATTATGAACCTTTACTATGTGAAAGGATGTTCTTTCACACAACAAATTTAGAAGTTTGATTTGAAACACCACCTCACTCCAAAAAAAAATTAATAAACACACTTTTGCATTTAAGCATTTCAGAATGCTACATTTTGATATTTTAAAGCACATTCTGTTCCCCATTTCAGTCCTCACTGCTGGGTGAAGAGGGACAGACAGGACAAAGTTCAGAACAAACTTCATTTAGTCAAGATATTCTGTACCCAAATAAATCAAAGTATTTCCAAAAAGTGAATAACAACTCTTTCCAAGAGCTTGAAGGGGAGGAGAAATGAAAAGTAAAAAAAAATTCCACTTTTACAAGCTTGACAAGCTGCACCTTGTCAAGCAACTGATTTACATTTGAAATGGGGAGGGAAAGAGACTAAAAAAGCAATCTAGCTTTCCTCTGAACTGTTACAGCTCCACAAACACTAACCCCCGCCCAAAAAAATTCTAGCTAGACTCTAGCAGAATTTTTGAAGAATTGGAAAATTCTATTTGAGTATTTATATTGTGTCTATTAAAAGTGACAGCTGAAATCTTACGTACAACTGCTGTGTGTCGTGAAACTTAACTTCCTATTACAGTTTAACGCATTTCAATTTCAGCATAATCTTTTTGTGCGCATGAGTTTATGCTTACTATTGTTGTGTGATCCTCTGACATCAGTTGCAACACATAGAGGACATACATTATTCACTATAGGTTCTAACCTAAATAAACGTAAAGTCATTGCAAGAACTACTTGTATTATTYAGTGATTTACATTACTGAAGTAAGAGTGAAAACTATTTGGTCAGGTACTATGCTGTAGGTATTACATATAAAATATTTTCATTTTTATTGCAAACATGGTAACTGCTGCCAAGTTATAAAAGAAAAAGAAAAGGGAGGAGTAATTAAGGAATAATACTTATTTCTTGCCAGATACGGGTACCTTCAACATGCTCCAAAAGAGCTATGGAATATCACATTCACTGAAGAACCACTCTTGCAGAATAACTTGCAGGAGTCAGGATTGTTTCTCTCCATAACCTACTACACTAAATTATGAGTTTCAATTAATGACATCAGAGAAGCCAAGCTGTATGAAAAAGACTAGAGAGATTGTTCGGTATCTCCTGAGCTGCAAGCAGCAATACAACCGTCTATGTTCTRTAATACAGTAACAAGTGTTGTTGACAGGCAATGTCATTCACACATCRTTGTCCAACCAGAAAGCTACACTATGTCACATTCTGCTTGTACTTCAGCATGTTGGGATCCATCSTAGGGACGAGATTCTCCTCACTAAGAGATTCTTCTCATCTACTAGAATCTAGCCACACTCTGAAACACTTTCTAGTGACTTAATCTGTCTCTCCACACTGAGGGAGGCTGGTGATGTTAGAGTACTGCATTTAAGCTAGCTTTTGGTACTACACCCCCTTGTACCTCCGAATAGCACTGAAATCTGCTCACCTATGTTCACTCCTCTTAAGACAGTGACTTCTCTAGGAAGAACTATGTGTGCTCATTAACCAGAGTGGCAACTTGGGAAAGTAAGAAACCCAGTCAAGATAAAGTTGCTGTACAGAAGGACAAAGCGCCTCAAAATAGAAGAGGGTTCTAGGATGTAGGAGAATAGGAATCACACAGGATGGCTGTATAAAAATAACAGACAGATCAGCCAGTTTGAAGAAAATTCAACTGTGGTATTTTTCAACAAATCAATCACTAAAATATTCCATAAAGGGACATGTGATCAACCTTTACCCTAAAGCAGGAAGAGAATTGATGAATAGAAGCCTTCAGTGCATACCCTACAGGAAGTACACTAAAGACCAACAGATTTCTTACATAATTCCATCAAATGTGTGGGATTTCTGAACACCAAAACCACAGGAACACTGTTTTTCCTAGCCTCAAATACAGACTACCATTCAGTGAGTACTGTAATAGGATGTTGTTTCAGTGCACTATAGTTCAATCCACTGCCACAAAAGTCTTCATTCATGCAATAAAGAGGGGTTTTGTGGCTTTATTAGTGACATTTTTGCAATAGAGAATTATTTGTCATTTCCTCAGTACAGTCAAAATAATTCTCTTTTTTTTTTGTCTCTTAATTGCCAGAAGAGGGGAAATAATTAAAAGATAGTGAATTCTGTGAAAGATACCCTCACCTCCAAATCAGAGGACCTGAGAACAGTTGAAGTTGGAATCCGCTCCTAGAGATAGCTATTCCAGCCCCAGACTCTATAAACCCTGCCTGYTGGGTCTGACCTCCTGACAGGAATGTTTTTCTTATGCTTAAAGCAGTTTCCTTGCATTTCAGTTGGGGCCAACTGCCTCTTATCCTTCACTGGACACCACTGAGACAAGTTCAGCCCCACGGTCATTACTGTCCCCGAGGTGTTTAACCATATTACTAAGAAGCCCTGAGCCACCTCTTTTCCAGACTGAACAGCACCAGCTCTCTCCTCGTGAGATACATCAGTCCCTTCATCACCTTTCACTGCACTCCTCCCAGTGCAGTGAATCCATGTATATCTTGGGTTAGGAAGCCCTTAGCTGGACACAACACTTTACATAAGGTTTCACCAGTGCTGAACAAAGAGGCAGCATCACCTCCCTCAACCTGCTGGCAATGCTCTTCCCTGTACAGGCTACCATCTTGGGCTGCCTTGGTCACCAGGGCACATTGCTGGCTTCTGTTCCACTTGTTCCCCACTACATCTCCCACATGCTTTAATGCAAGGTTGCTTTTCAGCTTGTCATCTTCTACTCTGTACCACACAAAAGGTTATTCTTCCACAGATGCAGGACTTGACTTTGAAATTCATGAGCTTTTGCTTGCCTACTGCTCCAGCCTGCTGCTGAACTGCAGTACAATTATCTGGTGCACCAACCACTCTGCCCAAGTKTGCAGCCTCTGCAAACTTCCTCAGGGTCACTGCCCCACTACACAGGTCCTTAATGATGAGAAAGAGTATCAGCCCCTGGGGCTAACTACTAGTGAGCTGGCCTCCAGCTGGGCTTTGTGCCGCTGATCACAACCTTTCCAGTCTGGCAGTTCAACCAGCCTCCTGCCATTTCTCTAGTCCATATTACAGCAGTCTTTCTATGAGAATTTACAGGACATTGTGTCAAAAGCCTTCCTAAAAATCAAGATAAATTCATTGCTTTCCACACATCTGCTGAACTAGACATTTAGCCATAGAAGGCTATCAAGTTGGTCATGCATGAATTCCTCTTCATAAATCCAAGCTGACTGATCCCAGTCACCTTTTTGCCCTGAATGTGTTTGGAAATGCTTTCCAAGATTAGTTGTTCCACAACCTTCCCAAGGATTCAGGTGAGGCTGACCTGTTTCTTACGATCTCACCTACATTCATATAAATGACATCCCTTTTTTTACGCTAATTACAATCTCTGCAACAACTTTATAGTTGAGCGGACAACAAGTTTTAGATCAGTATCATTCTTAAAGGAATTCATTTACTTCTTCCAGGAGAGTTCAGTATCAGYCCCCTCTCCTCCAGCCAAACTTAACTACAATGACAATTCCTGCAATGAAGTTTTTTAAAAAAACTTCCTTTACATTTATGAAAAAATAGTTTGTAATCAGTACAATCAAAAAACAACATATGCAAGTCTGAATAATGCCTTTTATAGTACAAATTTTACACTGTGTCTCCAAAACATATTAAAAACCTAAAACTATTCCTGGTAACAAGATACAGATGCCTCCTCAAAGGCAGCTCTCTTCTGGAGAATATCCTTAGACTTGTATCGGGAATACAAGATTCCCATGCTTTATCATTAATCTACATAAAGACATATATTTCCTGTAAATATAAGAGAAATACAAGTAGTATCATAAAAATATCTACCGCTAATGGGAGAGTATGACYGAAAATTGTAATATTAAATTGTTTTCATTGCTACACTCTGGAATAGCTGAATGCATTTTTTAACATTCTCAAAAAACAATTCTGTGGTTGAAGCAAGTTATTGAGAAATTAAACAYACACAAAAAAACAGACTTTAAAACAATACAGTGATCTGATACAATCAGAAACAGTGTCTCAAAAATCACTACTTCATTCTTCATTACACATTCAAAAAATTATATGCAGATTAATCATGTAACTAGAAAAAAAGRCCTACCCATAAACTGCAAAGGAACAAAAAAGATAGCATTCATTGATGGAAAAGATGCTCAGAATCTCCATTTAGTTTGTTCCATAAAAATGCAACAGACAACTAAACATCCTATTTGCAGATGCTACCATCTGAATGCTTGGACACATAACTCAAATTTTCTACAGAGAAGCATTTATACTCCAGAGCTTTAATACTGAACTCTCAATACAAGTTAATTTGTGGTCTACAGGCAGTCTAGAGTTAGGAAGCTGATCAAGCAGCTGCCAGTAGGACACTATGCTTAAATTCTTAACAAAGTTCCTGGCTAAAAAGTCACTCCTTCAAGACTCTTGGTGACAAAGTTACTCTACTCCTCCACTGCATCTGTTCCTAATCCACACCATGCRTATTGCTATTGATTATGCTGTTCACAAGAGCCACAAACTTACCACGCATGGCAATAACCAACTACTGTGTTATTTGGGACTGAGAGTATTTCCATTCCCTACTCTTAAATTATAATACAATAAAACACACATTAGTAAGAAGTCAGACTGTCAAAGGGGGAATCCAGAAAATTCACACACTGGCTTTATATAGTTCCAATCACCATATGTTGTTTCAAACAGCTCAAAATATATGGGCTATAAAATGTTCCATGGCTAAGTTTATTTTAAAAAAGAACGYTATCTGGTTTACTGTTATTTACTTCATGCTGTTCCTGACATACCCATTAAGAAGTAATTTTTCTCACATACATTTTTCAGCTGAAACTTCATGCATCATGCAGATAAACTATCTGGAATACACAAATGTGACTGCATAGCCTCAAGTACGGAAAAACTCAACAGAACACAAGTCACTTAAGTCAGTTCACAAGTCTAAATGAATCAAGGGCTTGAATTCATTCTACTGTTTCCTGTAAGAATCTGTAAATCCTTTCCAGAGTTGTAAGGGATCTTGTTTTCTAAGATGAATAACAATAGTATAGGGAAAAACAACATAGAAAACAACATGAGCTTAATGTCTTTGAGTGACCATATTATGGTTATAATCACACCTAAGTTAGATGGTTATTCTGCAGGTCTACCTTAATGACTGCTGTCTGATGACTCATCTTAGTTGCTCTAACTTCCTAGCAGTACGAAATGCTGAAAATACAGCAGACTGGAAACCACAATTAAAAATAACACTTATCACCTTGGATTAAGAACTACGCTGCTCCAGATTCATCTGCAGTTGCAACATGAGAAAACAACAGCTCAGGCATTGCACATTTTCTGCATCTTTTACTATGCAAGCAGCTTAAACACCACATTTATGACACCGTACCTGATTTCCATGAAGATCTAAAACATCAAGATTTTTWAGGTTCTCCAGATTTGAGATTTTCTTTAATCTGAAACATTTAAACAATGACAAAACATATTTTATGCTAAATGATTTGTCATTTTCCAACTAATAAGATGAGTCTTATTTATGTCTATACAGAATAACAAAAAGAATAACAAAGCTCTCAACCATCTTAAAGAATAAATGACTGTGCATTAGGCTCATGCATTCCATTCTGTCAAAAATACAACATAAGAGCATTATGCTCTGCCCTCTTATATGAAAGGGAAGCAGTATTACACAACTAGAAAACAAAGTAAATCAAATATCCAAACAACAAGAAATATTACCAAAAATAGCTAATCCCAAACCCCTTAAAAAAGATCAGAATGCCAAAGACTCTTGAGAGATTGCTAGAACTGGCAATAAAGAAAAATCCAAAAAGCACTGGCTCTACATAGGCAACACAGAACTCTGACTGGCAGTTATTTGTCTTCCTTCTCAGCTTCAAAATCAGAGTTTTTCTGTCCTATTCGTTGAGATAATAAACCTTGACTACTATACAGCCAACAGCATCATCTACTGGCTGAGTGTGTTACTGGTCACATACACTACACATTTGCTTCAACAGCTACAAAAACAGACTAAAAAACAGAAGCCATCCTACCAGTATATTGTAATTGCTTTAAAAAAATACAAAAAATAATACTTAAAAAGATACAGTTATTAACTTTCTAGCTCTGTCATCTCAAATCACTGTCACTTTGGATTCATAAGTAAATTTCAAAAAATTAGATWAAGCTTTATTATATCTGAATGTCATAACATATTCTAATTAGTGTACATGAAAACTTATATTTCTATATGTATTAAAACCTGATGCATGACGGGAGGACAATCATTCCCAATATGGGTTAACAATTGGTTGCTTTGTTTTTTTTTTTTTTTCAGGATTCTTTCAAATCATTAGAAAAAGATGAGAGCTAGACAAGGCACCCACCTTAACGAGTAGCTAAAAATCTATCATAAATTGACAGCATCTTAGATTATAGCCTGGATATTTCAGATGCTTTTTCAGAAAGTCTCATCCCATCTGGCTCTGCACAGAGAAAGCTTACTGAGAAATTCTACAGGGGCCCTGTGCTAGTCTCACTTCTTTTCTTAAAAAATACATACTGTGGAAACAAGATTTGCTTGACCAACTTCAGAAGCTTAATTGCCCCAACACTGTATTCCCATTATATTGTTCATTTTGAATTTTCCCTTCCCTCACCTTGAGGTTGAAAGTTTATTACACCGATCCATCACRCAGTACCACAATCAAGCACAAATTCACTCTCCCAAGGAAGTATGTGTCACAAGGAGGATAGCAGCCTGAAGACTCCAGGAAAAGGAGTCATCTTGCTGGTCTCACGGCGAGTATAACAAAYTGAAAACTCTGAACATTTGATACGATAACAGATCACCAAATTTACACCAAAGTAGGCTGCTTTAAATTAGCTTTACCTGTTCTTCCCCAGCAAAAGGACTCGTAGAGATCTCAGAGTTGAAAGCCCACTGATTTCCTCTATCTGATTATCATATAAATCTAAGAAAACAAGATGCTGTAGATTAGAAATATTCTGGATCCGAGTTATAAAGTTATGCTGAAAATTCAAGAGGCGAAGATGATCTTCTCCATCAATAATTGGGCACACCGTCAATTTTTGTCTGCAGGAGGAAAAAGAAAATAGATATTCTTAAATTACAAGTCATTAACGTACCCTTCAATATTACTGTCTGAAATGAAAAAGGGCATTATCTTGATTAAGGTAATTGACTAACTCTATTTTAAAAAATAGTAAGATGTGGCAATGATTCTTATATTCAATGATTATAATATTCACACCACAATGTAACAGAAATGCTTTCAGATTATCAAAATACTTCCTATGCAGAGTTTGCTTATTACATAGGTATCTTGCACAATAACTCAGTTCCAAAGTTTCATGTTGTGACCACACTGTAAAATTTCAGTAAATACAGCCTGCCAAGGTTGCAACCAGACCCCACATCAGCAGCTTGTTTAGATTAAAGTTAAATTTGATATGGCTATAATGATTTTCCTTTGATTTATAGAATTTGACTATTTTGTGTATTTGTATGTGGAGTAAAAACACAGGAAGTGATTCTGACAATGTTTTTTCCCCATCTTTGGGCTATCTCGAAGCTACCTCAGTTCTATTGAGCTCATGACTCTTGGATTATGTTATCTTAAATTTAATAACTAGCCAAGAAAAACAGTACTCCTCCTCCTCAAATAAAAACCTATGTCTTTACAATTAAAGATGTCTTTAAGATAACCAAGGCCAGAAAAAGTTAATCCATCTGACTAGAACTTCATATACAGCAGACTGATTTTTCATAGGTTTCTTGATTGATCCTGAGTTCATCTTAAGCTACATCYGTAGTTTAAAATGGAAAAATCCTAATATCTTGATACCTTAGATGACTGCTGTACAAATATACTTAAAAACATGTATTTTTACCATAAGGAGACCGATACASAATTTCCTGATTGGATATCATTTACCTCACTCAAACCCCAAACAAACAAAAGCCACACAGACACTATCCAAAACCCACCTGCTATCTACCACAAAGGGCATTACCAAAATACTCAGTGCTTCAGGTCATCAGATATAAGAGTTGCAAGTTACAATGTATTTAAGTCCTACATACAGAACATGACAACTATATATATGACAATCTCAAATACACTCAAAATATTACTCACCTTTCCAAGGTAAGCCTATCAGAGTTCAGTATTTTTTCTTCAGCTGTACGTTGCAATACAGGAAATGACGTTATTGATGAACTGCTCCCAAAATTTGTATTATCTACCAGAAAATCATGCACAAAACATTTGAACTAATCCTTCAGAAAGTCATCCCATTAACTATAAAGCCAAAAATTTTTTTTCTTAAGAGGAAAAAAAAAATGCATAGTCCATGAAACTGCATTTTGTCTCCATTCAGTGGTTCTATATACTGGCTCTTTCCTGCCATTTTTAGGTTACCACAACAGYCCTCCATTTCTTCTTTCAAAAGCACACTCATTTACTTTATTTCTGACAGCTGGTGACAATTTGTCACACAGCAGATATCGCATATTCTTTTGATGAGAAAAACTCTATGATGTTTAAAGTAATGTTATACAACAGTTTCATGGCTTCAACACCTGAACTTAATGATATCATCTAAACGAGGGAGATTTTATAAGAGCACACATCAGGTATGCATAGATACTACCATAAAATAATGCACCAAATATTTTCTTTGCAAGAACATTATTACTTCACATGTGTAATGAACACTATTACTTAATAATAATAGTAAAAGGATATTGAAGACAAAAAGACCCAAACCATACTGATCATTACCTTGCCTTCCTGAATAGTTCTTTTCCAGATCATGCTGCAGAAGTCTATTGTGGAAAGATGACTGCTCTTTATTTATCCTGAATTCAAACTGTAACACAATATTTCAGACATAACAAATATGAAACCTTTCAAGTCCCCTCCCCCCCCCTTTTTTGCACATGATCAGAAAATCCTGAACTACAACTCTCAGAAAATTCTGCATGTGCTTAAATGAATAGTGCACAATCCTAAAAACAATATTAATTCTACTAGGATACAAGAAGCCCCTACAAGAAGAGTACTATTGGATAACAATAAGAAGAGAAAGACAGACAAAAAAAAAAAAAAAAA